AGAACAGGTAATACAGGTCATACAGATTGATTCTCTATTCCGCTTTCGTGATTGTACACTCCAGAATTTCAAAGGTGTGGAACCAGTGCGCACGGATAAAGAATGGAAACCTCACTTGTTTACAACGGCGTCTTAGAAGGCGGACTTTCTCAAGATTCTGTGTGGACGAACCAAAGCATTTAGGAAAACTCGAGGAAAGCAGTTTGCGTGGATTTAAAAAAATTAAAGTTAGGTCCTAGCCACATGGATGCTGAGGACGCCTTCAAAGTTTCAAAGGTGTGGGTTAGGTAATAAGGGAGGAGTTTGTGCACAAAGCTTCCCAAGTCCACTTTTATATAAATTACCAGCAGGGTCCCCTTTCGATGAAAGGAATAATCGGTGCATTAACATCAACTGAAAGTCATTGGCCTACTACATTTACACTCTACTGGAATGGAGCAATAGACGCAAAGCCCCCCCCCCCCCCTTTCCATCTTCTCTCATTTGTCAAATATATTTACTTTGTTTGCATGCTTTTTAGTTTCTCTAACACCCTTCCTGTAAAGCATTTAATGCCCAGGCGCGTGGCACCAGGAAGTCATTTGCTGATCAAGAAAACTAAAAATAAATGTAAGTAGCATTAATGACGAATCTGGCCTCAGGCTTGCGGCAAGGGAGAGCATTTGAGATCAGGGTACAACACTCTCATAGTTGACAGCAATAGTTTCTGTGCTAAGGTAGACTAAGTAAGGTATTTGCTAGTCTTCTATTTTCAGACGAAGCCCACGACCTGTCATCTCCATCTTGTGGCTGAACTGACCCAGGTCACGCTACCTGCGCCAGGTGCATACAAAATGACATTACTTCTGATTACAGCCGGGAAATACATGTACAGTGATGCAAAAATCAAATGATCACATGAAGATAGTTCCCTGCCGATTTATTTGTGCTGGCCCGAGCATGTCCGGACGAAAACGGAAATCAAAAGCACAAGTGCCTTGATTAGAAATGACCTGATCGTTGCTATGGGTAGGTCGGCGCCACCCCTTTTCCCGATACCACCCCATGCCACAAGTAATAAGGGACTTTTTGTTAAATAAGATGTAGTATCATAAGTAGTAACCCAATGTCGCCGGAAATGGAAGTTTTAACAATTACTTTATTGTAAGTCCGACGTCTAACTGATAATCCTGTACAGAGAAAAGTAGGCTGGCTGGTCATTCCGGATAACCAAGAGCGGAGTCTTTTACTGTCTGAATCCGTTCCTGCTCCTTTTCTTTCTCATCACTAGCGGTGATTTTCCATTCTTTTTTTTTGTCCCGTGTCCTGATTTGGTACCGAGTATTGGTAAATTACTAATACATGTGTTTATTTGGTAGTTTCTGTTAGAGTTAGCCTGTTCACAATAACAAAAAAGACACTTTAAAGAAACAATTAATTGCCGATTTACACTAATGATGATGATGATGATGATGATGATGATGATGATGAGGATGATGATGATGAAAAAACATCCAGTACTACGGTGTGTGTGTGTGTGTGTGTGTGTGTGTGTGTGTGTGTGTGTGTGTGTGTGTGTTTCTGTGTGTGTGTGTGTCTTGGTCAGACAACATTACAGAGTGGACTGGAAAAACGATGGGTGACAATCTGAGGAAAGCAGAGGACAAAGATAAATGACGAGAGCTGCTTTTCAGATGCAGTAGTGCTCCCACGGTTGCTCCAACCACGGGATAGAAGAAGAAGAAGACTACGGTGTGGAATAATCATTGTACTAGTTTAGTTCTTCAATTGGTGCTTACACTAGATACCCCCAGGATGTCCTGAGAGGCAGGACACTATTCCCTCTTTCCCAACTCCTTGCATAGCGATACCAAAATTTGGACACAAGTTGTCATTTGATTTCTTAGCATGCATTTGGATATAAGTTGTCATTTGAATCCCTAGCATTATTTAATAAAGGTATGACTCCTTTCAACTCTATTTTTAACAATTATAATCAGTCTCAAATCTCTTTTGTACAGCCCCCCCCCCACCCCCCATCCACACACACACATACACAAATCATTCCCACGCCTCATACTCTCTTCTTCTCATATATCAGTCATTGTGCTGCTATCGTTAGAGTTGGAAGAAAAATAAAAACTCACAGAACGGCGCCCACGCGCAGAGAACAGGTTTTGCAACCAATCTATGATTGGAAGACATTTTTGGGGGCTGGGCGAGTTCCTGTGTAAAGATCCTCTTGGGGTTTTGGTAATATAATCCCTCAAACTATGACATTGAAATGCAAGACATGAACGCCAACTTCGTAATTCAGACGCTTTTTTATATTAAAAAAAAATTATTATGGGTTTCAGTCCTCTGTATTCCTTCTGCTCTACTCTAATTTTGGGGATTTTTTGGGGGGTGGGGGGTGGGGGGGGGGGGGGGGGTTGTAATAACGAATTTTTTTTCAACAGCACCCCATTTTGTTGTTAAAAAGTCTATCTAACTTTTTCTTTGAAAGGACACCTCTTTCTGGATTTGAGAGGACACATATGTTGAAGATTAAAGAGATAACTTTTGTAGTTGTGAGAGGTCTTTTTACTTCATTAATAGGAACTTCTTTTTTGAGGCATGAAGAGGGGGTGGGTGGGGGGGGGGGCTACTTTAAGATCAACTCTTTGTTTTAGAGTTTCTGTTTCTTTTAGGTAACATCTCTATCTTTGCTGTTTAGAAATCGGCCTCCTTTCCTGTCTAGGGGATACATCGCTACCTCAGAATTTACAAATTTCTATCTGCTAATTACTTAGTATTGAGAAACTTGATGTCAAAGTTTTTGAGTTTCACTACATTTCAAGCTTTTTCGAATGTAATTCTTTGAATATCTTGATAATCTTACGAGTTTGATAGAGTAGATGGAGTATTTGACTTCAGTCTGACCTCATGATCGTAGTAAGTCAAAACAACCAAAAATGTCAGATGGAATTTTGTAATTCTGAGGTAGCGACCTGTCTTGGTATGAAAGGAATCCACTTTGAGGTGCTGATGCTCTCAATTCTGCTTCAGCTAGTTGTACAAAATTTTGGTTCAGCCATTTTGGTAACTACAAAACTATTGGGAAGATACAAGTGAACATTTTAACGAAAGTGTGAGCAAAAAAGTTTATTCAACTTTGAAATAACAAGAAATACACACGTGCCATTTTGTGCTCTAAAAGCACTAACTTTGATAACATTGATAACAAAAAACAAAACAAAAAACAAAACAACCCCCCCCCCAAAAAAAAACCCCCAACAAAAAACAAAGCAAGACAGACTTCTTTTAAAGCATTTTGACAATGTACGGTCCATCATCCAAGTCGTTTTGAATGTTACGTTTGCCTTTAGCATAAGCAGAGAAGAAAACACAAAAGGACAGTTCTGATCACGAGACGAGGTGCAGTGAGTTCTGAGCAAGTTGTACCTAACACCGAAAATACTTTCTGTAAGTAGCAAACTGAACCAAGTCCATTCCATGTACTTAGGTAAAAAATGATAACTGTGTACATATTGGTGACAAAAGGAACTGTCATACGAAAGCTGCGTGACAGTGAGAATGAAAATTGAGGGATGCGCTGAATAAAAATGGGTTGCTTGAAGCAAATAGTACATCAAGAACACAAAAAGAAACAACAGTTTTTATTAATCCCCGCGGGTGTATTTGAGTATAAATTAGCAAGCAGAATAGTCTGTAATATAATACATACAACAAGAAACTCTGCCATTATCACGTCGTAGTTGAGCACTGAAGTACAACGCCTTGTTTCTCAACTAGGAAAATTTGTGTCTGTCTCGAACAAATACACCCAGCGTCACGTTCCTTGAGGTAGCATCTCCAGGAACTACCTGGCGAACCTGAGTTGACTAAACTGAGTCAAGTCACTGGAATCCCCAATAGCAATAATGATAATAATGATAATAATAATAATAATAAATAATAATAATAATAATAATAATAATAATAATAATAATAATAATAATAATAATATGTGTGTGTGTGCACGCGAGCGCTGTTTGTGTGTGCCTGTGTGTGTGTGTGTGAGTGTGTGTGTGTGTGTGTGTGTATGTGTGTGTATGAGTATGTGTGTGCGTGTGTTTGTGTGTGTGTGTGTGTGTGTGTGTGTGTGTGTGTGTGTGTGTGTGTGTGCGTGTGTGCGCGCACATACTAAACTGCAATTTATTCCAGGTTTAGTATAGCGTCTACTACAGGTAATGTAGGTCCATCTTACTTAGAAGTGAAAAAAATGTTTACCATGAGTTGCACCCTTACTAAAGTAGAAACAATAGAAATCAACACATACTTATATACAACAACTGTTAAAGTTACATCGGCGATTGTCAACGTACTGCCACGAACATTTTGATTCAGGAAGTCGCTTGTCTTATCAGCCTAAGGGACAAACCCCTTTCTATTCACAAACAGACATAACGAAACGTGAATTCAAAGTGTGCAAGGAAAATAGTACGGCAATGGCATTCAAAACGTTAGAATTAGACATAGCTTTCCATGTAGTCGTTTATCTACCTCCACCGAAAAAATAATATTATAATCCATAAAAGCATATTCTTACTGAGACAAATGCATTCCACAAGATAATCTATGGACTTTAGATTCTTAAAAACCTGCACAAAATTTTAATCTCGCCCTATATTGTTTAGTCAAGAACTCAGCGGATAGGGCTGATGTTGGGGTGGTGGGGGTGGGTGTGGGTGGTGGTGGGATGATAACGGCATAGCTGATAAATATTCCAGAAACTCGATCGACTACGGTTTACAGCACAGTAGATTAATAAATAAAGCAGAAATGCTATAAACAAGCTAAAAAAACAACAAACTCTTAATTAAAAGACGTCTTGTTGTTTTTTAAGGCATTCTTTTTGCATTTTTTTCAGCAAACTCTGTGGTATTTTCAATAATTTATTTCTTTTTATTCTTCTGTCGTCAGTAAATTTCAGCATTTGGAGACCTCACATTCGCCCTGGAAAGTTTGGTAGTTCATCGCAGAGGCATTTGACTCCAGGCGAAAAATGTCATGTGGATTATCCGTACACCACTCGGAAGACTGTGAGTGAGGCAGTAAGAGCAGCGACGCCGAGGGAGAACATGAGGTCCTTGATACCTGTCATTAGAAACAATATCATAATGACTACCCAGATCATTGTGAAAGAAGTCTTGAAGGCAAGATGTGGGGCAAGAACTTTAGAGGGGCCGACAAAGACTGAAAGAGCTACGTGGACGGACAACATCAAGGCATGGCCTGGCCAGAGTAAGGCAGAATGCAAAACGGCAGCCGGCGACCGTGAGCACTGGTTGTGCTCAGACGCCAAACTCTGATCAAGAGGTGACCTCTCCAGGTTTTATGAACTTCAATGATTGGTATTGTTCTAGTGCTAGTATGTAGGCTACTATTGTTTGTATGAGCATTGTCTGTATCAAGAGTTTATTTAACAATCAAAATGTGTTACTTGCCGGGTAGGTGAGTTAACTAACTAACTCGTAACTATGATTTATCATTTGATTGATTTATTCCCATGCTGTATTACTCATTTGTTGACTGATTTGTATCATCTGCTTATATGCATGTCCATTCATTTATACTTAACAATGTGTCTATGAAGTTTGCCGTTGGGAAGCAGTGGCGAAGGGTGGACCAAAATTTGGGTGGGGCTAAGGTTGCGTCCACTTTTTTACCACAAAATAAAAAGCATGTAAGAACTAAACAGTTATGGTTTTTCTACACTCACGGTGAGCCACGGCATTTTGAGAACCATTCAAACGAGAAGAGTAATAGTTACCCTTTGTCTTCCATCTCTTTGTTCTAAGTCAAATTTTTCTGAATGGTGGGGACGAAGCCGTTTCCCATTCAAATTTCTTCTAATTTCATCTGGTTCGACGTGATTACTGTTAAATCTCAGCGGCACAAACAAAAACATTAGACATGAACAGAGAGCACTTCAAACATATTCTGTTTATGATCTGGATCAGGCCGTGTAGTGTGTTGTCGCAAAAAGTAGAAGGTACCCAACAAAGGTCCTATGATGAGCGCATAGGTAACAGTGTGTTTCGTAAACTTTCACCCCACTGTCAGGGCTACAAGAGCGTGAGCCCCCAGCATAGTGTTCTTTTTTCAAATCTTCTACCTTTTTAAAAATAGTTTTAGCAAAGGTTTTACGGCGCTCGCAACTGCATAAGGTCATATGAGCGCCAGAATATTAGAGGTATTACAGGAGAGTAACAAACATAAAAAAGAAGGAGGGAAGATAAGGACGATAGATGTTTCATAGGAAAGAAGAAGCAAACCACACTAGAGCACCCGCCAACCACCCACCTTCTACCTTTTTACAAGAAGAGTTTCATCAAGGACGAGCCGTGGGAACGGGCTTATACTTTGCTGAGCCCTGAAGACATTTGATTGGCTGATAGGTTACTAGTTGTAAGAGGTGACAACCGAGATTGGATGAACGAGCAAGCCGCCTTGCGAAGTTGATCACTGTGTGTTCAATGCGTGCGATCATAACGGTTTCAACTGCTTACTTATTTTGTTATGTAAGAAACTTTCATTTACCTAGGGATAGAGTTGGGGTGGGCGGGTGGGTGGAGGGGGGGGGGGGGGGACTCAATCCGTAAGCCCATCACTACCCACCGCCACTGGCAAGGAAGCAGGAAAAAGAAACCTCTGAATAATCATTCCCATTATCTCCTTCCTGCTTCTTCTCCTGCTTCTCATTCTCCCCCCTTCTCCTATTCCCAGTTCTCTTTCCCCACACCTTCTCCTCCTCCTTCTATTCCTTTTTCTCCTCCGGTCGTTGTTTTTCCACTCTCTGCCTCATCCTATCCCCTCCCTCCCTCTCCTTACCCCCCCCCCCACCCCTCCTCCTCCTCCTGCCCTCCCCCTCCTTCTCTTCCGTCTCCTGCTCTTCTTTACCTGCTCCATTCAAGCAGTCTATGAGGTCCATGACACAGCCAGCATATGCCACATCCTCGTCACTGAAGTCCGTACAGTGAGGCACACAGTCGCATTTGAGGTTGATGTCAATGCACTGGATGCCGTTCTTGCAGTCGAAGAGGCCTCTTTGATCACCGCATGTGCCACCCTGGGGATGTATGAGAATGGAAGTGTCTGGTAATTCCTCCTAATTATGAAACCTAATTATGTATTAATGACTATAATTGTGTACTTCGAATTCAGTTAGTGAAAAAAAAAGAAACATTAAAATCAAATATACTTTGTGTTTGCATTTATAAACTATTTTCCATGCTTTATTTTCGAAATTACTGATTCTATGTCCTAAAAACGAAAACACGCGAAAGCAAAACACACACACACACACACACACACACACACACACATACACACACACACACACACACACAAACACACACAGACACACACACACACACACACACACACACACACACACACACACACAGGAATTACTAACGAAAGAGGTTCCGTGGGCATATCCCGTTGGAGTACAGCCTTGTTTGTTGCACATCTGCTCCTCAATGAGTGGCTCGGAACACTGAGCCCCCTGTCCCATGGGCACTGGATTGTTGCAGAATCTCTGCCTCATTGTGGTCCCGCCCCCACACGTCACTGTACACTTCTGCCAGGCGCCCCAAGGACCCACTCCACCGTCAACTGATTGAGGGACGGAGTTTCGGGGGGGGGGGGGGGGGGGAAGATTACCGGGGGAAGACGTTAGCGGAAAGCACATACATTAGATGAAAGTTAGATGTAACTGGGAAGAAAGTGATAAAATAGTTAGATATTATGCAAAAACGGAAAGGAAATAAAGTGAAATGTGGATAAGATGAACGCATCGGGATGGGAGTTGAGGAAAAGGATAAGGGAAGCGGTGGATGGAAAGCACATAAATTAGATGAACGCTAGATGTGATCGAAAAGAAAGTAATAAAATAGTAAGATATTATACAGGAATGGAAAAGAAATAAGGTGAAATGTAGATAAGATGCAAGCGTGGAAAGGGGAGGTAGGGAAAAGGATAAGGGAAGGGGTGGGTGGAAAGCACATACATTAGATGAAAGTTAGATGTGATTGCAAAGAAAGTGACATAGTAAAATATATAGGAACGGAACGTAAAGGAATTAAAGTGAAATGTAGATATTATTATGATGAAACTGTGGGAAGGATAGGTGAGGAAAATGGACGGGGAAAGTGAGAATGAAAAGCGGATAAAAAAGAACGCAACGAAGTTACTTACACATATGAACGAGATACGAGGTTTTTGTGTGTTGAAAGTCATATGCAATGCATATCTTGAGAAATGTAGACGATACGAGGATAAAGAAATATATAGATGAACAAAGAAACATGCATTGTAGATGACACAAGGGTAGATGGGACTGAAAGACTGATGTGATTGTCTATCAAATTGATAGCTTGGAGGTGTAACGATAACAAAAGAGAAAAGAAAACCACAAAAAAGATAACAACAACCACAGCAACAACAACAACAACAACAACAACCACAACAACTGCAGCAGCAACAACAACAACAACAACAACAACAACTGAGGCAGAAGCAGCAGCAACAACAACAACAACAACAACAGCAACAACAACAACATCAACAGAGATTATAAAAAAGTGGAAATGTGTGGACAGATCAAGTATATAATAAACGTGGAGCAACGTATGAACCCCCCCCCCCTGAATAAAATTACAGTTGAAATTGTCTAAGACGGCCACCCATTGTCGAGGAGAAAGTTGGACGTAATAGACAGCTTACCGTCTTACACAGTGTCATCATAATGTGAAACATATTTGTATTAGTGTGAACACGTCTAGAATTGGCAATTTGTACAGGTGATTGTCTTATACTGGTGGCCCTTATTAAGGAGATTCTGCTGAATTATACTTTTTCCACTGAAATAGATAACAAAAGTTAATCTCTTCTCTTGTGTGTACACGTATGTATCTTTCACTTGTGTTCTCCCAAATTGATTCCCTATTTTTTTTTCTGGTTTATTTATAGAAGATATTTTTTGCGATGTATTTGGGATTTGTGCAGTTGTTTATTCTAAATAAGGAGGAATGTAGATTCTAAAAGGATTTTGTTTTAATCTCTCTTGACTAAACATTGTCTCTTGACTGTAGAAAAATAAATGGAAACGTTAAGAACACTGAAAGGATTAACCCTATCCTTACGTCTTGTTTTACTATCGTATCCATACGACGTGGAGAACTCTGTGCCATCACTTTCCAAAAAGGAAATTTACTTGTTGATCCGACCCGTACCCTTTGCATAGCAGTCTGTCAAAATGATTTTTTGAGAAATACTGAAAGTTTTAAAGAGATCTTCACCCTAGAAGTATTCTAAAATGTGAAGAATACAACCCGGGGGTACAAAATTACCACAGGGGGTACGTATAGGGTTAAGATGTCAGCAAATCTAGCAAAATTAATGTATTATGTTGAAGTGTACAAACGTACCTGGGGCAACAGTAGGTGGGGAGAAGTAAAGAGGCTGCCAGGGATTACCATCTGAGGAGGTCAGGTAGATGAAGTATGAGCAACTTAATACTATTATGAATCTATTGGTTTTTGTTAAACTATTTGTGAGACAGCGTGGTGGAATCAGGCTCTCGTCAAAATAATCAAAGTGAAGAAACCCGCACTTTTCCGCAGGTTTGTGAATTTTTATCAAATTTTTGTTTTTTAGCTCCACACCTTTAATGCCCATTAAAGAACTCATTTCTGTGCGGATTTTTCCATAAAAACGTTGATTAAAGGCACAAAAAATGTAAATTTTCAGTTACCACGGACTATTAAGCTAAGGAAATAACTAATATTTGACCCCACCTCCTTCATTCGCAAATATCTCAACCTGTATTCAATATAAATGAATACTTTGTTCATCGAAATAAAGACAAGTGAACAAGCTTTAAGACGATACCAATAACTCTACATGCCCACAAAACTGACGAGAGCCTGATTGCACCGCGCAGCCTCACATTTTCAAAGTCTTAAACGTTCCATAGAGTCTTACTTTGTTTCTCGATGGACATCGACTTCAAAAATACATTTTTAGACGTGTTTTATTTACGGTGTAATATCCTTCAATTTAAAAAGTAAGTTAAAATAGATCTGACAACCTTTACGAGTAACTACGTGTTCAAAATTTCTCATTTTGGATCACAAGTATGAATTATACACATTTAACAATGCCAGTAGGATTGAGATAATGTGTGTTGAAGAGTGTGTGTCCGTGTTTGATTTTACCATTCCACAGACTGTTTCTTTGAGGAGATCAATACATTGTCATCTTATCTTGTCTTATCTATTCTTATCTGGCCTTATCTGATCTGATCTGATCTGATCTGATCTGATCTGATCTTCTACTTACTCGGGCACATGAGGAAAGTCATGTCACACGAGTCTGTGTCAAGGTCACTGCCAGGACAATAGCGGCCACCGTGTAGTGGGGCAGGTCTGGAAAGGGAGATAACATATGATTAAATAACAGCCAGTGGGCTTCTTTAGGGTTACGACCCTTCGTTGTTGGTTTGTCTGTCGGCTCCTTACTTACTATAAAAGGTACCACCCGTTCCACTGTACGTTGTTTTGATGAAGACTTTAAGTTTACACATCTCTAACAGAACGTTTTCACGTAGTGGCTCGGTGCTCAAACGTCGTTTTGATGAATACGGTACGTGATTGCTTTTCCATTTAATAAAAATGAATAAATACACAAATGAATACACAACATATTCTTATCATATTACAATAATATAATTTTATTTTTATACTCTATTACAAAATCATATAACACTTAAATAAATGCATACTATGTTGTATAAAGGTAATATCAATCCCCATTTTCTGGACTTACATCAGTGGTCTAAAGTTGAAGCAGCAACTATCATTTCATCTTTGGTAATGTTTCCTGTTTACTCAAATCAAAGTCAGTATGTTGAAAGAGAGACTCGACTCTAACAACCGAAATAGACGTATTATATGAATCAGTGAAAATCATTGAAAGGGATATTTAACACAACTTAAAAGGTAAAACGTTGAAATGCATATGAAACTCAAACTACCCCCATCCCCCACCCCCCCCCCCCTTAAAAAGCAACAAACAAAAATAGCAAACAAACACACAAAAAAGAACCCCCCCCCCCCCCCGCAAAAAAAAGAAGAAACAAAGACATCAATATAAAACAAAAGAGATGTTAAACTCAGGCTTAGATTCAGATGGTTGAAAGAGGTATGAAATGAAACTCCCAACGGGGATACGACACTAATATCAAATCGTCGAAAGTGATATTAAACTGAAACCCACATCGTCGAAAGGGATATGGAATTCACATTTAACTGCCAAAATGGATACAAAACTCAACTTAAACTGCCCAAATGGATATAAATCTTTACAAAATCAAGATTCCAAAAGGGACATTAAACTAAACATAAATTCAAACAAACTTGAGGGGAAATAAAATCATGTTCACCTGTCACAGACTCTGGTCCTCTCAATGATACCGATTCCTCCACACGACAACGAGCAGGCGCTCCACGCACCCCAGGTACCCCAGGCGCCGTGAACTGGGAGGACAGAATACATGTATATAGTTTACATAAAGGACATATAAGTTTGATGCTAACAAATAAATGTTATACATATATGTGGTGAAATCGTTGGGCTATATTTCTTTTTCGACCATATTTTTTTTGTTGGGCTAAAGACCTCGTATGTCTATTTAAAGACGTATTTCTGAGGGGATTTTTTATTGTAAAACGTTGATCAAAGGCATCCTAAAATGTAAATTTGCAGTTTCCAAGACACTGCAGCTTTGAAAGGCATCAAACTTCGGCATCCATTTTCTTGGTAATCTATCTTTGACAATAAGCCATCCACACCTCCCCCAATGGAAATATCTCCACTCCTGTTCAAGATAAATAAATATTTTTTCCAAGAAAAGCTAGGCAAACGAGCAGGCTTTATGATACTGCCAATGATTCAATATGCCCACAAATTGCCGAACGTCTGATTCTAACACGTAGCGACTCGTATGTATTGTTTAAACTTAGATAGCTGGCACGCCAGCTAGCAGGCTAGCTAGATAGATAGATAGTGATGCATGTTTTTCGCTTGCTCTGTTTTTAGTTAAAAAGACTGCATAAATTATTAATAGAAACACAATCTTACAATAGTTAACCCCTTTGACGTCAGTAGCGACTTTCTTTGATATGTATCCAATCAGGTTCTTGATCTTACTTGCAAAAGACTTGGGTTATGTTCAAAAGTAGGGAAAATAGTTTATAGAGATTCTCTCGTTCTTTCTGCTTGAATTCATTTCATACCACTCCGGTTACCCACGGCATTCAAAGCTGAAACAGCCTGCCTCCTGAATGACCTTAACAGAGTTGGTTTAGGTGTAAACTAGCTGGAGCAATCCGAGCCATCTAAAGTCTACCAGTGAAAAGGAAATATACCCCCTCCTCCCTACGAAGTAAGAGACAATGTAAAGAATAAATGAAGAAAAATCGAAAAAGAATAGAACTGATTGAATGAAAATAATTAGACTATTAAATGCCTTCGTACGGGACGACGACCTCAGCCTGCTGTCACCTTTCCTTGTGAGGCAGGGTTGTCGAACTTTATGAAAAAGGGAGCAAACTCAAATAATACTCTTACGATTTGGGCAGACTTGATAAACCTCCTTTAAGCAGTGAAAGTGGGTTGTTTGCGGGTGCTCTGGTGTGGTTTGCTCCTTCTTTCCAATCAAACAGCTATGTTTTTTTTTAAAATCTCTTCTCCTTCTTTTTATGTTTGTTACTCTCTTGTAACACCCCTAATCTTCTGCACAAATATGACCTTATTGTGTTGCAAGTGCCGTAAAACTCTTACTAAAACTAAACTAAACCATAAGTTTCTGTAAGAATTGTACGGCACTTGCAATACAATTCGGCAGCAAAAAATGAAATCGTTTTTAAAACTAGAATAAGAACAACAATTGAAAAAGGGAAAATGATAAAAGATCAAGGAATAACAATACGTTTTCGCCTCAATGCCAGTTTGTCAGAGCTGGGTGATATTTGGCTTTTTTGGCAACAATGTTCATTTAAAGTAAGGTTTTGTTCTGAGGTGGGACTGCCTAAAATTCCCTGGCAGGCCGGACATAATTGTTTGCGGGGCTGGATGTGGCCCTCGGGCCTTGATTTGACACGTTAAAAAAAAGACATAACAGCGACCCCGACTATGACTGTCACTTGACACCCTGTGCATGCACACAAGGTCAAGCATGTTCGAAATGGGGACAGCGGGGGGGGGGGGGGGGGGGGGGGGGGGGGATGGGTAGGGGCGACTTTACTGAATTTACCAGCCCACTGTATTTAAGCCTGAACGTACCAGCACAGGACACTCCTGTATCACAAGATCTGAGGTCATCAGTTATTCCGGTGCAGTCGGCGCCCAGGTACTGGGGCGCTGGGTTCGTGCAGGATCGGGCGTTGTACTGCTCACCCACGCCGCACGTGACCGAGCAGGTTGTCCAGCCGGCCCAGTTGGTCCACGCTCCGTCAACTGTGTAGGGTTTACGTGAGGGGGTGGGGTGGAGGTTGGGGATGGGCGGTGGGGGAGAGGAGGAATGAAGTAAGGGTATTTTAGTAATAGACAGCATTTGTATAGCACAAATCCCCGCTCAACAGCAAGCTCTATACGCTTCATTGCCTATACTATTACCCCAGAAGGCCTGAGAGCATCCTGAAACATCCTCAACTTCCTGGGAAGCACACAGTGCAAGCAGCCATTCGTAGGCGCTTAAACACTAACATACTGACAAGATATATATTGTCAATTTTCGTCTCTTTATTCCAGGGAGAAGCTGACTGTCAGAAGAGAGAGAGGAAGCATAATCCAACCACTTTAACCACGATATTCCAGTGTCCCCACTGCAACAGACATTGCACATCCAAAATCAATTTGCACAGTTACATGCATGTCCCCAGATGCGCTGCAGGATTTCATCGTCATCCGCAACGAAGGACTACCTACCTACATTTCTGTTGTCATTAGTAAAAACAGTGATCACTTCAAAATCAAATGAAAATACAATATAAATAATCATAGACGATAAGACATTGAACAAGTACACCAATTCATAGATCTATATCTAAGGGCGACAATCATAGACAATGGCAGAAGGGAAGAAGAAATAAATATACGAACAGCAAAGGCAAAAGCAAGATTATGCCTAATGCACAGGCAATTATCTCTGCCAATTAATAAAGAAAATGGCGGAGGACTACATCTTCCCTATTTCTCAATATGACTACGGACCTGAACTTTAACAAACAAAGAAGAAACAAAAATATCTGGCTCGGAGATAACGTGCTACCGCAGAATGAACAGAAATAGCTGGAAAGCAAACAAGGCGAACAGTGTGGTGTGCTAGCTTCTCCTCACAAGACAAAACCTGCTTGATAAAATTAAAAGTAGAAAAATACAATTATTTGGTCGTACAAAATGCCATCAGACCACTAAGGAGGAAATACCTGAAGGCAAGAGGTGAAATCAAGGCATCCTTTTAGTATGACAGAGTGTAAAACGGTAGCTGGCGACCGTAAGCACAGGCGGGTCCTTGCATGCCAACTGCTTAGCCGAAGATGATACCTCCAGGTCTCCAGGTATTTAGTCACAGAACAAAGTCAGCCATGCATGACATTTTCAAACATTAAGTCACAATGATGAATGCCCTCTGAAATCTCAGTTGTCAAACCTTGGTTTTAATTCGTATATAGATCTATTAGATGTGTGTGTGTGTGTGTGTGTGTGTGTGTGTGTGTGTG